CTACAATACTCGTTTTTCTTATCCAAGCACTAGCAGATTTTCCCCAGCAGTATTTCTGGCTGATCCTCTCCCCGAGCCAGCCAAGGTTTGGTGCAAGGCGGTCATCATCACTTTGTCCCACGCTCCTCCTTGTCCAGTGCATCCCTGCTGGCCACCACAAGTCCAAAAAGCAAGTGCTGAGAGGGGCAGGAAACTTTCCAGAAGAGGCAGAGCTAAATAAGGGTGAAGCCTGGACTGACAGAGGCTGCCAGCTATTTATTTAAGCAGTACTTGCCCATGATGGAGCAGGAGAAGGATGTTTCAGAGGTGCTGCAGGAAACTTTCTTGCTGCCTGCTGGGCTTTTTGACCAAAATAAAGCAATGGCCCCTGCCCACCAGGTTCTCCCAGCGCTGCACTGCCCAAAGGCAGGTGAGCCAGGGGGTACCAACCTGTTTCTGCTGCTCCGAACCACACACAGCCCTTGACGGTGGCTGCTGGGGGTCTTCTCTGCTACGAGTCACTGCTCCAGCACCAACAGCAGACGCTCCCCTTCCCTCCAAGGGCCAAGCAGCTCTTGTAAAGAAGCAACCAGCACAAGCATTGTTCTTGAATATGTATTTTTACTGAAAAAATCATTCATAAATTAACAAATACAAAAATGTACAAACACATGGGTAAATAAATGTAATGACACAAAGGATTGCTTTGCCGAAAAGTGTGTGTGTCCGTGTTTTAAAACACTAGTCTTCAGTGCAAAAATGTCCCCCTGGCACCTCTTAAAAACATAACAGTAAGCTCAAAAGCCATGATGATGGAAAGATATTTTATAGTTTAAAGCCACTAGTGACTAGCAGTGTGTGGCTGTTGCTCAGACCGTACCTCCCTTAGAGACGTGGAGCTTTACAAATAATGAGCTGTAAATAAATAGTTTTGTAAATAAAACCCACATGGCTCATTTAATTAAAGAAAAAAATAAAGAAAAAAAAATCAGCATTGAACACGACCTGCCTCCTGCAGGGCTACAGACATTGGTGACATGGAAGGGGCAAACGAGTGGCCTTGTTGAATCTGAGCTGCCAGAATATGTACAAGTTCTTTAATACGAGAATTTTTACACCATAACAGCACATGCGCTTGACAGTATGTTTTTAAACAGATACATTTACTATACAGTATTTGACATAGCTAATAAGTTTAACAGTGCACATTTTAAAGATATTCCACATTTTAAAAAGGGAAAAAAAATCCAAGGTGATTAGAACAAAGGAACTATGAACAGTGATGTTGTTTTGGGGTGAAATGGACCCTTTTATGCCAACCTTTAACGAGTGCATTTCTGAGCAGAGGTAACATCTTTCTTTGTTCAACACAAGGTGCAGTGGATGTCAGGTACACAAAGGCTGAGGATTCAAACTAAGGTAGTTTAACACCTACTCACACACACATGCATGATTCCTGCGGTTGTGAACTTGGACTAGTTGAAATACATTCCTTGTTTGAAGCACCATTAAACAAAGACAGGTTTCTAGCAACGTCTCAAGATTAAAGAAGTGAGGGGCAGGGCAACGAGGGTTTAGCATTTGAAAAGGGTCCACGTGAATCCCAGATCAAGATTCAGAAGCAAAAGTCTTTATTGCTATATGCGCCGTAAAAAGCAAATCCTCACCTCTGCCTACGAATAACTGAGTTGAATTCCCTCACGAAGCAATTTTAAAGCACATGTAAATTTAAAGACTTTAAACCTAAATCACAGGCTTATCAGTGCTTTTCAAGGGCAGGCTCACTGTCCTCTCATACTGCCTGATAAGATCCACACAACAAGAAACTCCATGTTTTCTAAACTAACATTTTCTTGATATGCTTTAGGAATGCCCTGGGCAGTCACACCCACAACAGATGTGTATGGGGATCATACGTCCACGGAACCAAGAAAACCAATGTAAACCATGAAAAGTTAAGGAAACTGAAGGCAAACAATGCAATAAAAAAAAGAAAGTTAAAGTACTTCTGAGGTCAAATACTCACAATTGTTATGTATAAATACATAATTAAAACGTAACCCCCAAGGTATTATTTTTAAATCAGAGAGGTCCAGTAAAAATGACTGTGTACATGCTGTGTAACTAATGGACTCAATTTCAAAGAAGGATGGGGTGGGGGGAATTTTATAAAGGTACAACGCAAAAATCTCAAATCAGCTGCAAAAAAGGAAGAGGAAGGGAAAAATGGGAGGAGAATTTCAAATTTAGATGATGGGATGGGATGTTGAACCAAAACCTTGAGTTCTTGGTACTCATGTTTTCAGGAACTTAATCTATATGTCCTTCATTTTTCTCACTATTACTAATCTGTGGACCCCACTCGCTGCACTTGTGCAAGTGCTTTCAGGTGGTTAAGGCTGATAGCCAAGTGTCCTACCTAGTTCTAATTTACATTAGTTCAGTGTACTGTTAAATTTACACAATAAATACAAAATACTATTCCATAAAACAAAACCCCAAACTGTAATGTTACCGTAGAGGAATCACTGCAGAATTCCCAACGGGGGCAGATCCCGTGAAGAGCAGCTGCTGCCCCATCCCGAGGGCCGCGCGGGTGCCCGGGTTGGTGCCTGGGAACTCGAGCACTCTGCCAAGCTGGTGCCCGCCAGCCCAGGGGCACGCACAGCAACGGGCAGCGGATTCCATCCCCTATGGCTTTCACACTAATTTACACATTATGCATCAGAAGTGACAGAAATGGGATTTCCCCCCACCCCGCTGAGTATTCCCATTTCCTCCCTCTCCCTGGAAAGCGCCACCCACATGATTCCTGCAATGAGTGATGACATGGCTGCATTTATCAACCGCTACATTTTAAAGTTTAGGGCCCTGTTCCACGAACATTTATGCATATGCATAGCTTAAATCATGCAAGCAGTCTCACTGGCTGAAAAGGGAACAACTTGCACAAGTACAGTGATGCACACACAAGTGCTTACAGAATCCAGGACTAAAATGAGTGACCTTATGTAAACCTCTAGCTTGGATCTGAACCATAGAAGAAAATAAAAAGGGGCAATTTACACAGCATATTTACACTTACACTTCTTTAAGAAGCGATTCTGTTGTATATACTTCAAGCAGGTCATTTAAAAAACCGCACGAACGTAGAACGGTATCAGAAGTCTTGTTTGATCTCCCAACTGGGGCAGCTGCTGACTGAATTGCTTCCGACCATCCGAGTCGGGAAGCCAGAGTCACTCGGCCGAGCCGGCTCGCGGGGAGGGACGCGGGTCTGCGTCGAGCCCCGGCGCTGGAGATGCTGGAGGTGGAATGTGAGACGAGAGCAGCAGTTCAAATCGTTGTCCTGAAACCCGGAAAGCGAGTGGCGGAAAAGGAAAAAGACTGCTGAGCTCGCTGCACGAGGATCGGGTTGGATTGGTACAGCAAGGACAATTTGTGCGTGCACTTTCAGCCTTATTCTCCAAAATACTGTGATCCTTCATTAGCCAAAGTATTTCTTGTCCTTGATAACCCTTAAAAAAGAAAGTCTAACACGGTGCTTTCTTGGTGAAGGGCAGAGCAAAGTTATTTTCTCCTCTTAATATTCACTCACCAGAGCCAGCTCCGGTGTCAGGTTAACAGTGATGTTCTTATACAACGCGTCATACGTGACGTTTGGAAAGTAGTTCAAGTTATTGAGGCCGTCTAGGGCTTGCCTTTCTTTCGACTTCCTCAGCAAGGCGTACCTGTTTGGAGAGAGCAAGAGACCAGCAGATTCACTTCCTTGCACCACGCAGAGCTGCGCACAGCTACAGAAACACCCTTACAAGAGCTGACCTCCATCCAAAGCCACAAACCAAAGTGTCTGAGCCCTTGTTAAAGCTGCCTGCCATCTTTTACCTACTCGTCCCACGTAAACACCCCAAATGCTTTAGAAAGTTGCAGCCCATCAAGTGTCAGGGAGCAAAATCAACAAATGTTTCCCCAAAACCAGGAGCGCTCCCTGGCCAGCGAGCCCCTCCGGCAGGAGATGAGCAGAAGCTAAAAGGTGATGTGGTCATTTCTGAGGAAACTGGGTGGTCCACCCAAGCGTGGACTGCCTGCAAGTGAGAGGGGATGAGGAAGTAAAACTAAAACAATCTTATTTTGGGGAAGGAAACTGCTGCTGATGCACAAGGGCCTTGATCAAATTTGGGCGCAGCACGACAAGACACAAGACCTGAGGCAGGAGGGGGAAAACAGGCAGAAGCCCCTCAGGAGGCCAGGGCTGCGGATGAGCTGCAGTGCAGCCCAGCCATGCTGAGCACCGGGATTGGGAGCCCACGGGGCTGGGAGACGGCAAGAACACCGGGAACACACAGGGCACAGGGAAGAGGAAGATTTGGGTCAAGCAGAATAAGGAAGCAGCAACACTGGCTTCGAAGAGGTCACAGGACATTGGCAGGAAACAGTTTTTCCAGTGAAGATGGAAAGCGATTGGCAGGATGCAGGGCCGGGAGAGCTGTGATGGTGCTGGGCGGATGGAGAGCTCAGAGCAAGGCGGCTGCCAGTGAACACACAGGGCACAGGGAAGAGGAAGATTTGGGTCAAGCAGAATAAGGAAGCAGCAACACTGGCTTCGAAGAGGTCACAGGACATTGGCAGGAAACAGTTTTTCCAGTGAAGATGGAAAGCGATTGGCAGGATGCAGGGCCGGGAGAGCTGTGATGGTGCTGGGCGGATGGAGAGCTCAGAGCAAGGCGGCTGCCAGTGCTGCAAGCTGGAAGGAGCGAAAAATCCCCCTGCAACCGCCCATGGCAGCAGCCGGGCTGGACGGGCCCTACAGCGGCGGAGGGGAC